GAGGGAGAACATTCCTGGTCAAGGGAATAACATGAGATTTTTTGGTTCCAGGGTTTGAACTTGGGGATACTCAACCACTGAGCTACATCCTCAGCCTTTTTATGTTTTATTTAGAGACAGGGTCTTGCTTAGGGTCCCCCTAAGTTGCTGAGGCTGGCTTTGAACCTGTGATCCTCCTGCCTCAGCCTCCTGAGTCACTGAGATTACAGGCATGCACTACTGTGCCTTGTTTACATATGGCACTTTGAGGGACAGAGACTCATGAAGTTGAATCCAGCTTAGTGAGTAAAGAGGGGTAGGCACCACACTGTGCCCCTTTTGGACTTTTTAAAAATATTTATTTATTTATTTTTAGTTTTCGGTGGACACAACATCTTTATTTGTATGTGGTGCTGAGGATTGAACCCAGTGCCCCACGCATGCCAGGCAAGCACGCTACCGCTTGAGCCACATCCCCAGCCCTGGACTTTTTTTTTAATTGGTACTGGGGATTGAACTCAGGGGCACTGGACCACTGAGCCACATCCCCAGCCCTATTTTGTATTTTATTTAGAGACAGGGTCTCACTGAGTTGCTTAGCACCTCGCTTTTGCTGAGGCTGGCTTTGAACTCACTATCCTCTTGCCTCAGTCTCCCGAGTCCCTGGGATTGCAGGCATATGCCACCACACTGGCCTACATCCCCAGCCCTTTTTATCTTTTATTTTGAGACAGCGTCTCACTAAGTTGCTAAGGCTGATCTTAAACTTTTGATCTTCCTGCCTTGGCCTCCCGAGTCACTAGGATTACAGGCATGCATCACTGCACCCAGCACTTTTGGATAATTTTAAGGACATTTTTCTCAAGTGATGTGAAGCAAGTGGAGGTAGGGGGAGTAGATTTTTATCTCCCAAAGCTCCCTCTGTCTGGCCACAGTGTTACTGGGCCAGGATTTCTCAACCATGGCACTATTGATACTTTGAGCTAGATAATTCTGTTGTGGAGACTGTCCAGTGTATTGTAGAATGTTTAGAAGCATCCCTGGCCACTACCCACTATATGCCAGTGGTACCTCCCCTCTCCCTAGTTGCAACGTAAAAACTGTCTCCAGACATTATCAAACCTCCTCTAGGGGTCAGGTGTGGTGTTGCATGCCTGAAATACAACCTACTTCAGAAGTCAAGACTGGAGGATCACAAGTTTCAGTCAAGCCTCAGCAACTTAGGGAGACCCTGTTGCAAAAAAAAAAAAAAAAAAAATTAAAAAGGGCTGGGATGTAGTTCAGTGGTAAAGTGCCCCTAGGTTCTATCTCTAGTACTACAAAAAGAAAACAAAATGTCCCCTAGGAACAAAATCACCCCCAATCATCTGACTGTGCCAGATCATTTAGTTTTTTTTTTTTTTTTTTAATGAGGGTTTTCTACTTTCCCTCCCCCTTCAGACACATGTATAGGGTGTGTACACAGGTGCACATACATGTGCACTCTATTGACTGTGACATCTTTGTAGGTCACACTTGCCTCTGGCTTCCCAAACCCCTTCTGAGGCTTTGCACACCTAGGAGCTTGACTTCATTGCATAAACACTCCTGAATATGACATCACCAGGGCAGTGTAAATACTTAATATTCCACCCTGTTCTTTTCAAGAATTTATAAGGGGGCTGGGGATGTGGCTCAAGCGGTAGCGCGCTCTCCTGGTATGCATGCGGCCCGGGTTCCATCCTCAGCACCACGTACAAACGAAGATGTTGTGTCCGCCGATAACTAAAAAGTAAATATTAAAATTCTCTCTCTCTCTTAAAAAAAGATACAAATGCCTCCTGGGTAAGATTACCTTTGGAATTAATTTTAAAAAAAAGAATTTATAAGATATACTCCATATTTAATCCAGTTCCCATTCCTGCTAACAGTAGCTACCTGGCATGTTAAAGCACTTAAAATGGTGATTAGCAAGAATCAGAGTTCTATAACCTTCTCATTTGCAAAATGGGGGAGAATCTGGTAGAAATGATCCTTTTTTTTTTTTTGTGGTGCTGGGGATTGAACCCAGGGCCTTGTGCATGCAAGGCAAGCACTCTACCAACTGAGCTATATCCCCAGCCCAGAAATGATCCTTTATAGACATTATCAATCAATCCTTATCAACCTGAGGTCGTCAGGTATGATTCTTCTATGTCTCATAAAAAGCATGTATCCACAGCTGGTTCAGAGATGGAACTGGGATTCAACCCTAGACTTGATGCAGAGCCAAGATTTTCTTATTTTTGGTGCTGGGGATTCAATTTAGGATTTCACATATGCTCTCTTGCACTCTAACACTGAGCTTATATCCACAACCCCAATGCCCAATCTTTTCTCATGACCCCTGACTCTTTTGCAAGGCCTTGAGGTTTATGCTACTATTCTAAATTAGAATCATGGAATGGAAAAAGAACTGACATCTACCTAGCAGCAGACATTGACTGGACTCCATACCAGCTCTGCCTGACTTCTCCAGAGTGGTCTCCCAATGATACTCTTCTCCCCATGCTAGTTAAGTACCTGTACCTTAAGTAGCATATAGCACATGTGCTGGGGAGGGAATTGACACTAAAACTTTCATCCTGCTCACCACCCCTCTTTTTTTGTACCAGTGATTGAACCCAGGGGCCTTAACCACGGAGCCACATCCTCAGCCCTTTTTTATATTTTATTTAGAGACAGCGTCTCCCTGAGTTGCTTAGGGCCTCGCCAAGTTGCTGAGGCTGGCTTTGAACTTGCAATCCTCCTGCCTCAGCCTCCTAGGTCACTGGGATTACAGGCATGTGCCACTGCATCCAGCTTCCTCTCTTTTTCATAGGCCCTGAACTAAGTGGCTTAGTACATTATTATATTTCATCCTCATACCTGAGGCCCCATGGTTTTGCAGACAAGTGAGGCTAACAGCTGGCTTTGAACCCAGACTGCAAACTCTAAACCACCACTCTGCTGCTGCTTGCCTCTCAGTAGGTCAATGGATGGGCACAATCATACACAACACTAGTATCCATATAATTTTCCATTTCTCTTGATGCTAATCCCTTTTATTCAAAGTCCATAGAGAGCTGGGTGTGGTGGTACCCACCTGTAATCCCAACAACTCAGGAGGCTAACAAGGTCAAAGCCAGCCTCAGCAACTGAGACCCTGTCTCAACATAAAAAAAAAAAAAATGGCTGGATGTGTCTCAGTGTTCCAGAACCCCTGGGTTCAATTCTCAGTACTAAACAACAAAAAAGTCCATAGAGAAAGCTGGCCCATTAGTGACCTTAGCTTATTTTTTTATTTATTTGGTACCAGATATTGAACTCAGGGGCACTTAACTACTGAGTCACATCCCCAGCCCTTTTTTGTATTTTATTTAGAGACAGGGTCTTGCTGAATTGTTTAGGGCCTCACTAAATTGCTGAGGCTGGCTTTGAACTCATGATCCTCCTGCCTCAGCCTCCTGAGCCACTGGGATCATAGGTATGTGCCACCATGTCTGGATGGAAATTTCCATCATGTGACTTTTGGTTAAGCCCTATCAAGTCCCCCTGTTTTGGACTTAAATAACACCGACTGCTATTTACTGTGGCAGCTATCTTTGCTTTTTTGAAAGTATTTATTTTTTAGTTTTTTTTGTGGATACAATATCTTTATTTTATATGGTGCTGAGGATCGAACCCAGTGCCTCACATGTGCTAAGTGAGCACTCTCCCACTTGAGCCACAACCCCAGCCCCATGGCAGCTATCTTTGAACATGCAGGTAACACTTATGCACCAAGAGAAAATATTTGAAATAGGGGCTCATGAAGGAAATAGGTTCCAACGATCTGTTTTGAAGTTTCTAGGTTCCTAGGTCACTTGGTGTCCTGCAGCCCACTCTTCCAACTTCAGGAAAGCTGTGGTTCTTACAGATTAGTCAACTGAACCTCCTAATGTGATTGTAGGCAGGGTCTTCTTTGCTGTACAACCCCCACCACTCACTGTGCCCCATAAACAGCATTTTCTACTTGCTGTCATTTGCCTTGTCCAGCGAGCAAAGATCCTTCCCACAACAAACTAGGTAGAGAATTACAAATCAAAGTCTCCTGGCCTTACTGCATGCAGCAGTTTGTCCTAATTCCAGACAATTAGGGAACTGTCCCTCCCACCTTTTTCACAGGTCTGCAAGTGATTGCACATTGGTCTACTGGCTCTTATCTCCAAACATGCCATATAATTTATGTATCAGTCTCATGTACCCAGAATGGTGGCTGACACACAAGTGCCCAATAACTTGCTAAAGACATCTCTATATATTCTAGTAGTTATTAGGCATTAAACACAATTCCCTGGAAACTTGCAAGTCAAGGGTAATACAGCAGTACACTAACGTGGTAAAAAGCTCAACACTGCCAGTAAGATTTTCATTGTGCATATTAACTCAGCTGCAACTATTATGTCAGGTAATGCTGGTAACAATTTGCTACATGGCCAACAATTAAATTTGATCTTTCAGGCCAAGCTGAACTCTTTCCAATCTAGGATTTGAGATTGGCAATCTTTTTGTTAAGAGCCAAGTAGTAATATTTTAAGCTTTCACAAAGGCCAAGTCTGCATCAAGGTGAAAACAGCCATGAAAATGTAAATAAATGCATGTGGTTGTGTTAACCAATTTTTACCATGCGCAGTGGTGCATGCCTGTAATAATCCCAGGTTGGGAGGCTAGGCTGAGGCAGGATCACAAATTCAAAGCCAGCCTCAGGAATTTAGCAAGGCCCTAATCAACTCACTGGGGATGTGGCTCAGTGGTTTATGTGTCCCTGGTTTCAAAAACTTTAAAGACCATCTTATAAGAAAATAGGGCTGGGGATGTGGCTCAAGCAGTAATGCGCTTGCCTGGCATGCGCAGGGCACTGGGTTCGATCCTCAGCACCACATAAAATAAAGATATTGTGTCCACAGAAAACTGAAAAATAAATATTTAAAAAAATTCTCTCCCTCTCTTTAATCCAATAACCTTAAAAACCAAAACAGCAGTTCAAATGTTTCACATATTTATTAGCAAACCAACCCAAACCAGTACTACAGCTTCTGTGACACTATCCAGATAGGGCAGACATTTTCAGGTGGATGTGACAAAATGATCACAGCTTTGATAAATATGTGCGCCATTTCATGTCATTCTTTATAGACCCAGCTTGGTTCTCCTCCAGTGTCTCCTCTTGGAATTGTACCTACAGAGAAGGAAACTGACAGTTACAAAGGCAGTCTGACTACAATTTAGCTGTCTCCATTCACCATAAACTTGGTACAACAAAATTCAAAGGTCACAGTTTCTCCTTCAACAAGTTTGGATTGTTCTTGAGAGTAAAATTATTTGTTACATTTTTGTAAGAACTGGGTCAAACCAAATTTTAACCTCAAGATGACTGATCTCAGACTAGGTTCTTAACTGGGACTCAAGTAGAAAGGAAACTCCTTCTTCCCCTCCCCTCCATGGGTACCCACACCCACTTTTGATTCAACACGCTGGGGGTAGATGCAAGCATATCTTTAACCCCCTCTTAATGGATCACACACAAAAGCTCCTGCATTATCTTTACAACAAATTAATACCCCATAGTAATAGTGCATTCCAGAGTTAAAGCAATGTCTGAATTGTCCATGTCAATCTGTCATGATTTTACCCCCAGAAGGCAAAATCAAAAATGATCAACATAGCTTTTCTTTCAGCAGGATAATGGCAGTACTTCCACAAAATGAAGCACTGTAATTGCAACCTGCTCTCAATTAATTTTAAAAGTTGAAAGAGGGGCTGGAGATTGTGGCTACATGAGGCCCTGGGCACCAGGCACACACAAAATAAATAAAAGTTGGAAGATAGCAAATATCTCCCCAACTGTATGAGACCAGAGAACCAGGATTATCTATTGAATTAGGCACTCCATTTTATATACATTTTGTTCATTCCCACAACCCAAAACACAGATATCATCAGTTGACAGGAACATGGAAAGGGTCCCAGTTTCTCCTTCAACAGATTTGCTGTACAACCCAGATAGTTTACACTAGCTTTGTGGTCTTCTCTTTCAAGAGGGACCCACTTCCTAAGCTCACCCTCTACTGTCAGCTTCAACACTCTACCTCCTGTATGTGGTCTTCTGAGCTGTTATTTGGAAAAGCCAGTGAACCTGGTACTTCATTTTAAACAAACAAAAAATGTGAATTTTATTTAACACTCTAGGATTGTCACTGGTTATGGGATCTTGGGGCAAATTTCACATGCTTACTTTTCCTCCCTTCAAGATTTGTCTTAAAGCCCACTTAGTATGAGAAGCAGGCTGAAAAAGGAATATAGGAAACCAGAGTTTTAGTCCTAGTTGACCTTGGAGGTCCTTGACAACAATTCTAGTGACGTCTTTCTTCCAAACTCATCAATTCAACTATTTCTGCAGTAGAGGGCAGTGTTGCAATCTTAAAAAAAAAAAGCTGACCACTTCAAAAACTGATTTTGGGGGAGCTGGGCTATAGCTCAGTGGCAGAGTGGGGTGTGAGGCACTTGGTTTGATCCTTGGCACCACATAAAAATGAACAAATAAGCCAGGCACAGTGGCACATGCCTGTAATCCAAGCAGCTTGGGAGGCTGAGGCAGGAGGATCGCAGTTCAAAGCCAGCCTTAGCAAAAACAAAACAAAACAAAAAAACTTCACAAACAAATCCAAAAACAATAAAAAAGGACTTCAAAATATTGATAGACAGATTTGATTACATGTAACTTTCAACTGCATGTTTATGCCCTAAAAGTAATCTGAAACAAAGAATTGTGTGTGTGTGTGGTGTCTTACCTGATTTTATTACCAGTTTTCATTCGAATCCACTGGGGAATGGGACGATTTTGCTTTTGTTTCTTGGCCAAAAATCGCTTGATCCTGAAAGTTTTGTGAGAAGACTGCAAGGAAATGCAAACAACTTAGTGATACTAGAGCCAGCCCAAAATGATTCAAAATTTTTTTCCTCAATCCAACAAACATCTCAGTGGATGTACAAAAAAATTAAAAATCATCATCCACCCTCAAATCCTAAGAGTTCTCAAAAGGCATCAGAAAACTCAGGCAACCAAATTGGGAATTGGCTAGGGCTGGGGAACTTGGCTTAATGGAAAGACCTAGCTTTAGGTTAACCAGAATAACCTATCACTTGTAAGTCAATGAGCCTCAGTGTACCCTCCACCCCCTCAAGGTCAATCCGGCAGAATTGCAGATCTATAGCCTAGCCAACTTAGCCCAACAAACCCTTGCATTATAGGGGCCATTATAAAGGCATAACTACAACTCTCTCCCAGCCCGCAATAGCAGTTGTATATTTTATCAATAAACTAGAAAACATCAAATACCGATCCCCTCCATACCTAGTAACCAACAAACATAGTAATCTGTCACAGAGCAGTGATGGCATTTACTAAAAATCCCCGTATCACACAAAACCCCCATTCTAGGCAATTAAGCTCAAGTCTCTGAACAAATGACTAAAAATTCCTGCAATCTTGTTATGGGTAACACTTCTGGATGCCCCTTCTGATGCCGAGCATATCGTGCACACTACCGGCAGCCTGCCGTTGGTCCAAGTTCAGGCAAGCGGGACGGGAGTGGGGGTGCACCTCGATAATCACAGTTTGCAACAGCAGGGAAGCAAAAATCCTTGCGCTCCCCGGGACCAGCCAGACTCTTAGCGCGCTTTGGACTCTTCCGCGCCGGCGCAGCCGCCCCTCCCCGAGTGCTCCTGCTAGGCCTGTGGGTTAGAGCAGCGGCCAAACTGGACCGTCCCTTGAAAATACCTTTAAAATACTCCTGCCCCTCGACACTTCACGCGGCCCCGGCCAGCCCTTGGCGGCTTTGTGTCTAGGAAAGCCATCTCCGAGCCGATGGCGGCCGATAGACTTACCATGGTGAGGGACCGAATTCGGTGCTCGCACCACAATGGCCGAAAAAAGGCGAAGAGGAGGAAAGAGGGCGGAAGAACGCGTTTAGAAGGCGCCACTGAGAGGTGGAGCTTAGGCAGTGACGCTTTGCGCCAGCCAGCGACTAGCGCCTCCCTACCCGCCAGCCCAGCCTTCCATGGGGCCCTGGGAACCTGCGCTTCTTAGTGAGGAATGAAATTCACTTGCCTTCACTTCCGTAAGTGGGTTTCCCAGGAGCCCGTTGGTGTGCTAGGGGCACTCCATTTCGTCGGTGAGGTAGACAGCCTGTGATAAGTGCCAAATTAGAACCTCTTCCGAAAGCAGAGGGGGGAGAGTGGATGGGGCCAACCCCTAGGGAGGGCGTGGGAAGGGACCGTCACCCCCAGCCGCCGGCGACTTCGGGCCTAGACTGGGAGCGCGCCACGAGTAGAGGGGCGGGGCTAGAGTTCCCAGACGGGTTGGGCCGGTGGGAGCTCTAGGCCTGCTACAAGTAATTTCGAGCTGCCTAGGAAGTGCGGCGGCAGGACTACGTGGGTCCTGTAAGCCTAGGGACGGACTTGGAGTTTTAGACTAACGAAGCCCAACTTTGCTAGGATGTACAGGAATTAACGGCATGCGTTTGGGATGCTAGTGCTTCTAGTTTTCATTTTTTATTTTCCCCATTTATAAACAAAAACCTCGTGCTGAGGGCGTATGTTAGTGGTAGAGCACTTTCCTAGCACTTTCCTGATTCCATTCCCAGCACCGCCAGAGCAAAATCTAGAAAACCTCTGTATATCTTTGCATTCACCTCAAGCATTTTGTTTTTGTTTTTATTTTTTATTCTAATTAGTTATATAATGACAGTAGAATGCATTTTGACAGCCCATACATAAATGGAATGTAACTTCTCATTCGTTTGGTTGTACATGAACCTCAAGCATTTTTGCGCCAATGAATTAAGGCAAGAGTTTTTAGTCTTGGGTCCAGAAGAGTACATTTATACAGTTCAGAGTCCTTGAATTTGGATGGAGAAAAATACACCATATTTTCACCAAACTGACTGATTTCAACACTTTGTTTATGAATGTAGCAAGAGACCACAGTGGTGTTGCATATTACCTGTGACTTGGTCACCTATAGAACCACAAATGGTATCACAGTACATTACAGTTAATGTAGATATTTACACACTCACTTTTTTTTTTGAGAGAGAGACAGACAGAATGAATCTTTTTTGTAGATGGAGACAACACAATGCCTTTTATTTTTATGTGGTGCTGAGACTCGAACCCGGGCCCCTCCCGTACTAGGCAAGTGCTCTACCACTGAGCCACAATCCCAGCCCAACACACTCACTTTTTAAAATACATAGCTGTTAGATCCACAAATAGAACTGTTTAAAAGCTCATGTGTTATTGTAGCACCTTTTTATTTTAAAAATATTCTGATAACTATATTGCAATGTAACTGGTTTTCATTGTAATCTTATATACTTTGTTTTATACATTTAAAAAAATTCTGAAATGGAGCATGCATGTAATCCTAGCTGTTAGAAGCTGAGGCAAGAGGATTGCAAGTTGGAGGCCAGCCTGGGCAATTTAGCAAGATAGTGTCTCAAAAAATTTTTTTGAGGGGGAGTACCAGGGATTGAACTCAGGAGCACTTGATCACCGAGCCACATCCCCAGTCCTATTTTACTTAGAGACAGGGTCTCACTGAGTTCTTAACATCTCATTTTTGCTGAAGCTGGCTTTGAATTTGCGATCATCCTGTCTCAGCCTTTGGAGCCGCTGGGATTACAGGTTTACAGGCGTGCCAGACCACCATTTTCTTTTTGCTGACTCTAAAAAGAGATAAGCCTTCCCTTGGATATCATTGTCTTCATCATAGCTACCACTTATTGAGAGTTTAGGGTGTGAATGATTCTGTGCTAAGTGCTTATATAAATCATCCTTTTAAATAACCCCCTCCTGCCCCAGGTCAGGGTATTGAACCCCGGGGCACTCAACCACTGTGCCCAGCAAATACTTTTAATTCTTATACAGGTGCTTCTTCCTGGTTTACTCATATTTTGCATGCCACCCCTTCTCAGTCTCCTTTGCTGATTTTTCCTGATCTTACTAATCTTTTAACATTGGATCCCTGAGGTTTAGTTTTGGATCTCTCCGCTTTTCTGTATATATTCAGTCTTTCAATGATCTCATCTAACGTACCTTTAAATATTCTCTTGGTTGATGACACCCAAATGTATTACCTCTAAGGGCTGGGGATGTGGTTCAGGGGTAGAGTGCTTGCTTAACATGTCACAGGAGAGTGGGGAGCTGAAGCTCCAAACCTGAGTTCTTGTGCTCCAACAAAAGAAAATTTAGCCATGCACTGTGGTGCACACCTGTTATTCCAGCAGCTTGGGAGGCTGAGGCAGGAGGATTGCGGGTTCAAAGCCAGCCTGAGCAATTTAACAAGACCCTAAGCAACTCAGCAAGACTGGCTCTAAATAAAATATTTAAAAGAGCTGGGGATGTGGCTCAGTGGTTATGTGCCCCTGGGTTCAATCCCAGGTACCAAAAAAAAAGAGAGAAAGAAAAGAAAATTTAAAGTCAGATGTGAAAAGCCAGGCAAGAAAACTTTATTATAAGTGAAAGTACAGCAAGGCCAAAGCAAAAAACACTCTCAAGAGGGAGAGTGTGGGCTGGGGATGTGGCTCAAGCGGTAGTGCGCTCGCCTGGCGTGCGTGCGGCCTGGGTTCGATCCTCAGCACCATGTACAAACAAAGATGTTGTGTCCGCCAATAAGTGAAAAATAAAATGTTAAAGTTCTCTCTCTCTCCCTCTCTCTCTGCCTCTCTCTCTCTCTCTTTAAAAAAAAAAAAAAAAGAGGGAGAGTGTGTTGCCTCCTAGCAGAGAACAACAAAGGAAACAATGCTGCTTCCACATTTCTTATTGTTTGATATTTACCAGGAGAACTGGGGTCCACCTTCTGCAATTTTTACCAATCAGATGTTTATCTTCTACTTTGGGTCACTGGGAAGAGCTTTTTTTTTTTAAGTTTTTAGTTTTTAGTTGTAGTTGGACACAATACCTTTATTTATTTATTTATTTTTATATGGTGCTGAGGATCGAACCCAGGGCCTCGCACATGCTAGGTGAGCGCTCTATCACTGAGCCCCAGCCCCAGCCCCTGCTCCTGGGTGGGGGGGAGAGTTTTTGACCCTTTTTGATCCTCTCTAGAACATCATGGTAACCATCCTATTCAGAGGATATTCATCTACAAGTCAGTCCTATGTTAGCCGGGTACCATAGTGTACGCCTGTAATCCCAGCAACTCTGGAGGCTGAAGCAGGAGGATTACAAGTTCAAAACCAGTCTCGGCAACTTATCAAGGCTCTAAGCAATTTACATGAGACCCTGTCCCCAAATAAAAAGTACTGGGTATATAGCTCAGTGGTAAAGTGCCTCTGGATTCAATCCTCAGTGCCAAAAAAAAACAAAACGAAAACCTCTGTTAATGTGGGTGTTGCGGTTAATTACTGAACAACCTTCATCCAGTTAGTGCACTTGTGCCATTTACGAAATTTCCCTTCTGAAATTCATTGAGAAACCTATGGTCATAAATCCTAACTTTATATCAGTAGACTCTGCCAGGAGTTAGCCCCAATGATCTTTCTTTTTAAAATTTTTTTGTACTTGGGATGTACTCCAGGGGCACTTTATCATGAGCTACATATCTAGCCCTTTTAATTTTTTATCTTGAGACAGCTCTCACACCCAGCTGATCTTTCTTTCTTGACATATTTCTTAATCGGTTCCCTTTGTTTCTACCCGTTTATTCTCTGGGTTAGTACACCTGTTGTTGTTCTACGGGTTACTTGATTATTCATTAAAGGCAATTTCAAAGAAGCCCTGTGACCCTACTGTTATTGGTTCGCATTTCACTGCTCATTACTAACTACTACCTAACAGCGCACTCGAGGCTCTGGGTTCAATCCCCAGTACCACCACCAAAAAAAAAAAAGCCAAATGTATTACCTTTAACTTGGATCTCTCTCTCCAAACTCTACAGTCTCACTTCTCCACTTGGATATCTAGTGCATGTTTTAAATATAGTATGTCTGTTTTATTCAGATTTTGCATTGCTGTGACAACAATGCAGAGGAGGAAAAGTTTATTTGGGATTCACAGTTTCAGAGGTCTCAGTACATAGAAGGCTGACTGCATTGTGCTGGGCCCAAGGTGAAGCAGACATTACATCATGGGGGAAGGGCCCAGCTAAGAAAAGCTGCTCAGCTCATGGTGGGGTTAGGAAGCAGAGAATGGGGAAAGGTCCACAGGGAAGATGTACCCTTCCAGGGCATGTCCCCAGTGACCTCCTCCAGCCATGCCCCACCTTCCTACAGTTACCACCAGTCCATTCAAACTAGAATGGACTAATTAGGTCATAACTGTCACAATCCAAACATTTTACCTCTGAACATTCCTGCATTAATACAGGAGCTTTTGGGGGGCACTTCATATCCAAACAATAACAATGTGCTAAAGAGAACTCCTGATCTTTGGGGGTTCAAACCAAGGGCCTTGTGTATGCTAGGCAAGCACCATACCACGGAGCTCCACCTCCAGCCCTAGAATTCCAGATCTCTTCACCAACTGGGTCATTCAGAGTCCTTCCAATCTCAGCATGTGGCCACTCCATTTTTCCTATTGCTTAAACCAAAACTTCTACCTTTCTCGTTCTCTGACACACTGCATTCATTCTGTTAGCAAAACTGATCAGCTTTTGGAATTTATCTGGAATCTAGCAACTTGTCACCTCTACCCTGATCCAAGTGACCTTCTCTCACTTAGGTTATTTTGTAGCCCTTCACTGGTCTCTGTGCTTCTGCCCTTACCTCCTACAGTGGCCAGTGATCCCTTCAAAACCCAAGTGTGATCATGTCATTCCTCTGCTCAACAACCTCAATGGCTCCTCATTGCTCTCCCAATAAAAAGTATTTACAGTCACTAAAAAGGTCCTACCAGGCTGGACCCCATTATTTCTCTGACCCAACCTCCTCCTCCTCATCTCCCTCTTTGTGTGTGTGTGTGTATGTGTTTGTTTATTTTAATTGTCGGTGGAACTTTATTTTATTTCATTTATCTATCTATCTATTTATTTATTTATATGTGGTGCTTGCTGAGAACCAAACCCAGTGCTTCACACATGCCAGGTAAGTGCTCTACCAAGTGCTCAATAGCCACAACCCCAGCCCTCTCCCTCTTATTTTGCTGAAGCCACACTGACCCAATTTTTCCTTCAGAGACACAACAGTCCTCTATGAAGCCTTACTGTTAGGTACCTTCTCTGCTCAGGAATCCATGACTTGTCGCCTCACCTCCTTCAAGTCAGGGCTCAGATGTCACCACTTAAGTGAGACTGAGAACTCTGTATCCCCCTTCCTTTCATGCTTTTTCTTTTTTCTTCAACATGTACTTAATTTTTAAAATTTTTTAAATTTGTGGGCTGGGGTTGTGGCTCAGTGGTAGAGCGCTTGCCTAACATGTGCAAGGCCCTGGGTTCAATCCTCAGCACCACATAAAAATAAATAAATAGGGGCTGGGGATGTGGCTCAAGTGGTAGCGCGCTCGCCTGGCATGCGTGCGGCCCGGTTCGATCCTCAGCACCACATAGAAACAAAGAAGTTGTGTCCGCCGAGAACTAAAAAATAAATATTAAAATTCTCTCTTTCTCAAAAAAATAAATAAAATAAAGGTATTGGGTCCAACTACAACTAAAAAATAAATATTAAAAAAAAAATTTAAACTTGTTCTAATTAGTTAGATCTGACAGTAGAATGCATTTTGAAACATCATACATAAATGGAGTATAACTTCTCATTCTTCTGGTTGTTCTGATGTAGAGACAGGTTGTGTAATCATATATTCACATAGGGTAATAATGTCCGATTTATTCTGTGCCTTGTTTTTCTTGATGTCTCTTATCACCTTTTAGCATGCCATGTAATTAATTTATTGTCTAACTTCTGAGTCATTATAATCAAGGAGGAAAGAGTTTTTTTTTTTTTTTTTGAACCAAGGATTGAACCCAGGGCTATTTAACCACTGAGCCACATCTCCAGCCCTTTTTTAATTCAGAGACAGGGTCTCACTGAGTTGCTCAGGGCCTTGCTAACGCTGGCTTTGAGCTCATGATATTCCTGCTCCAGCCTCCTGAGCCACTGGGATTACAGTTGTGTGCCAATGTGCCTAGCAGGGCAGATTTTTAAAAAATGTTTTACTCTGGAACTGAGTATGTAACTTAGTGGTAGAGTGCTTGCCTAGTGAGCATAAGGCCCTGCCTTCTGTCTCCAGCACTGGAGGGGGGAAAAAGTGAGCTGAATTGTATTCCCCCAAACTCATATATTGAAGGCCTAACCCCTAGTACCTACTTGAATATGACAGTATTTGGTGAGAGAGCCTCTAATGCTTTAAATAAGTGATAACTTTAAAATGAGAATTTTTAGGTTGGTGTCCTTATAAAAAGAGTTGATTAGCTAGGTGTATGGTGTATGCTTATAATTTTACTCAGCAACTTGGGAGGCTGAGGCAGGAGGATCACAAGTTTGAGGCCAGCCTGGGCAACTCAGTGAGACTTTGTCTCAAAATAAAAAATAAAAAGGGATAGGGATGAAGCTCATTTGTAGAGTGACCCTGAGTTCAGTCTCATAACCACACACACACATGTACACACAAAGAAGAAAAAAAAGAAAGATTATATGATGACACAGAAATTGGCTTTCAGCAAGTCAAGGATATGGGGTCTTTTTTTTCACTTCATAATTATTTTATTTTTAAAAAAATTTTAATTGATTTTTTAAAAATAAATTACAGTGGAATGCATTACAATTCCTATTACAGGGCTGGGGTTGTGGCTTGGTGGTAGAGTGTTCGCCTACCACATGCGAGGCCCTGGGTTTGATCCTCAGCACCACATATAAATAAATAAATAAATAAAGGTATTGTGTCCAACTACAACTAAAAATAAATATTAAAAAAACAATTCTTATTACACATACAGAGCACAATTTTTCATATCTCTGGTTGTATACAAAGTATGTTCATACCAATTTGTGTCTTCATACATGTACTTTGGATAATGATGTTCATCACATTCCACCGTCCTTGCTAACCCCCTGCCTCCTCCCTTCCCCTCCCACCCTTTTGTCCTATCTAGAGTTCATCTATTCCTCCCATGCTCCCCCTCCCTACTCCACTATGAATGGATTAAAAATGTGGCATATATATACAATGGAATATATTACTCAGCAATAAAAGAGAATAAAATCATGGCATTTGTAGGTAAATGGATGGCGTTGAGAAGATAATGCTAAGTGAAGTTCCAATCCCCCCCCCCAAAAAAAAATGCCGAATATTTTCTCTGATATAAGGAGAGTGATTCTAAAGGATAGGGGTCTTAAGAGAAACCAAACCTCCCAAACCTCTTGATCTTGGACTTCTAATCTGTAGATGTGTGAGAAAATAAGTTTCTATTATTTAATCTGCTCAATCTGTGCTATAGAAATCCCCCCTTATCTGTGGGAGATACATTCTGAGATCCCCAGGGAGACCTAAAATTGCAGGTAGTACCAAACCCTATGTATACTAATTTTTTTCTCTAAATATATACATATTACATATACATACCACAGCAGTATTTTGCAGTTTTAGGTGTGATAGAAAAATTAGTATGAATTGCTTTTTCCTTCACAGTTTCATGGATAGAAGATTCCTTCTTATTATAGCTCTTACTAACCTCAGGATACAAAGCTATAAAAGTTTCCTAAGTAAGAATCTTCCATTTTTTCACTTAAAAGAAGCAGTTTACAGCTTTTCTTTGGTATATCTGAATTGTCAACATCACTGCTCTTGTGGTAAGTAAAATAAGGGTTACTCAAAAACAGGTACTATAATATTGCAAGAGTTGATCTATTAACCCAGAAGGCTACTGATTACTGGGCAGGTAGAATATATAGTGTGGATGTGTTAGACAATGGGATAATGCCCATCTTCCATTATGAATAATACACAATTTAAAACTTATGAATTGTTTACTTCTGGAATTTTTCTCTTAATATTTTCTAGGCAAACTTGCTTTATTGTTTTTGGAATTCTGGGGATGGAACCTAAGGCCTTGTACATGCTAGGCAAGTATTCTGCTGCTGAGCTACATCCTCGCCTTCCACTTTATATTTTCTGACCTGAAAAACCACAGAAAGCAAAACCATGAATGAGGGAGGATTACTATATTTTGTTAGGGCAGCCTAAGCAAATTAGTCAGGACATGAAGAGATGGGGAGGACATTCCAGCTAGAGGTAACAGCCTGATAGAAAATATAGGGGTTGCCAGGCATGGTGGCGCACACCTGTAAGCCCAGTGGCTCAGGAGACTGAAGCAGAAGGACTTTTAGTTCAAAGTCAGCCTCAGCAATTCTGCAGGGTGACTCAGCAAGACACTATCTCAATAAAAAATAAAAAAGGGCTGGGGATGTAGATCAGTGATTAAGCACCCCTGGGTTCAATCCCTGGTACAAAACAAAACAAAGCAAAAACAAAAACACAGGGGATTTCAGGCTTTCAATCACAAAATTCAGTCTATCTGGGGAAAATCCTGAAGGAAGAATAGGGCATAGAGAAAGAAACTAGGGTATGGTTTCCAGGAACAGGGAAGTGTATTTGAAAAGATATAGAGACCAAGAACAGGTATCCAGGGCATCCCTGAATTTGAGCTTTATATCTTTGGGGTCAACAAGTTATAGACTTCTTTAGCAGATTTTTTTTTTTTTTTTTTGGTGCTGGGGATTGAACTACTCAGAGGCATTTTACCACTGAATTATATCCCCAGTCCTTTTTATTTTATTTTATTATATTTTTGAGACTGGGTCTTGCTAAGTTGCTGAGACTGGCCTCAAACTTGTGATCCTTTTGTCTCAGCCGCCTCTGAGTTGCTGGGATTAGAGGTATATGTGACTATGCCCAGCTAATTCTTTGTTTTAAAACCATTTTATATAGAACTTCACCCTTGAGTTTACTCTTAATTTGACACCCTTATTCCAATCCATTTGCAAATCCTGTCAGTTCTCTCTTCAAAATATATCTTGAATCCAGTGCTCCTCACTTCCCTACATTGGTTCATCGTTTACTTGGTTTATTTGAAAAGCCTAACATAAGTTGTGGCTCAGTGGTAGAGCGCTTGCCTAGCATGTGTGAGGCACGACATAAAAATAAATAAATGAAAACAGACAAATAAATAAATAAATAAGAGTTCATCAGCAACTAAAAAGAAATATTAAAAGAAAAACCTAACCCTCCTTCTGTCTGACCCTGTTCCTCTATAGTCTCTTCAACACAGCAGCCAATGTATTCCTGTTAAAACCCGAATTATGGCTGGGGATGTAGATCAGTGGTAGAGCATGTGCTTAGAGAGTATGAGGCCCTGGATTCTATCCCTAGCACCAAAAAAAAAGAAAAGAAAAAACATACAAATAAATAAAAAGACACCTAAGTCAGATCATGCCAGTCAGCTTAGTGGTTTAATGGCTCTGAATGGTTCATATATGATCCCAGTAAAGATCCAAGTGCTTATAACAAGCATACACAATCCAACCCTTCCACTCCCACTT